TATTCATTAACTGTAATTTTCACTGTGAGGCAAAGGTAATCATTTTATCTGGAATTACAATTATTATGACATAACCAAGGGAATGAGAGTAATGGGAGGTTTTTCTAATGTTTCATTTGTACCTAAAAATGCTGTTTTGTTGTTTTAGAACTATTACTAAACCACACACTCATTTGCTAACAATAACTGTGTTAATGTTAACCATTATGTTATTTGCTATTTATTACTTATGTATTCAGCTACATGTTGTACATAATAATATTGATGTCATTATGAGTACTATAGTAGCACTAGTACCTATAGCTATGCTTTATGCACATAATAACAATAACAATTGCACAATAACTTTTATATGCCATCTAGCAAATTATTGTGAGTAAGCATAACGATACATTTACATGTGTTGTACTTTATTTTTACAACACTATTATTTATCATTCTTATACAAGCAACAGTACTGCATTGTATCAGCTTTAGACAAGATGATAGTGTCAGTGCTAGTGGTTGTAGATCTATTTTTGTTGAGTGCATGTCAGTGAAGTTATTAGTCAATGGCCACCTTCATCACTGGATGTATGTAGCAAACTCACAACTGTATTGTGTTTGCAGGTATCTACTTGATGCATATGTTATGCTAATGAATATTTCTTAAATTTGGACACTTAAGGAAAGATTAGTAACAGTATCAAGTGTGTGTTACCTGGTACTACTCTGAATGGTGGAAAGTAAAAAATCATCAGTTGATGACTGTGCACTCTATCTCCTCAAAAGATGAATAGTTGTGCTATTGTCAGCTAGTGACCAATACAGACTTTACAATCATGTAGTATGTGTGTAAAATTTTATTATGGCTTATTGTTGTCATAAATTGTGTTGAATGTTCTAGAATTATTATTATGATTACTGTTAATATTACTATTGTTATTGTTGTTATTACTATTATTACTATTACTGATTGTATTATTATTATCATTATTACTGATTGTATTATTATTATTATTATTATTATTATTATTACTATTATTAGTCTTTTTTTTTTGTTAAGCTTATTCATATTTGCACCATGTTCTTCTTATAGGTAACTTAACTAATGACGTCATGATTCCTTTCTTATATATATATACATGCTTTTATTCATTTTTCACTTGTTGTGTAACTTGTGTGATAGTTCATTCTTTCCTAAGAGATATCTAATCCTTAAAGTTATTCTTCTCCCATGTCATTTCCTTCACCACTTTGGTCACAACAATTGTATGTACCTTTTTAGTTTATTTGCCCTATTTATCTAAACATTTCTTCCATTTACTTTGCTACAGGATTTACTTTATTTAAGGGAATAGATCTAGCAGTAAGACAGACAATACTTACAGCAGTTGAAACAAAATGACTGTGCTAGTTGTTGTAATTGTTGTATTCTTGTTGAGTGTCAGTAAAGTTATAAGTCAATGTCCACCTTCCTCAGGTAAGACACTGGATGTGTATAATAACAACTGTATAGGTTTATATAGGTATCTACCTGAGGCATAATGGAAACTGTTATACTAATGGATCATATTATTTAGATGGTGACATTAAAGGAGCCAGTAACAGTATCCATTGTCACATTAGTGTTATTGTAACTACTTTTAGTCAAATTTTTGCAGTTTGTTCTTTTGATGTTATCTAATCAATGAAGTTTCAGTTACTTTATATAGTATAGTGTTATGTTAGTTGAAAGATTAAAACTAAAACTAAGGAAAATTTCTGAAGACGCAATAACAGGAACTGCTATATGAAGGAAATGCTTCACACTACTCTGAACTTCTAAGTTATAAAAATCTTCATACACAATAAAATTTCACCATATGATTTCACACACTCAATGCCTGCTAAGTAGTTGTCACACGTGTAAACTTAATTTTAATTTTCTTTCAAAAATTAACTCATTTCCTTGTGAGGTTTGACTACTTTTCTTTAAAATTATAAAGAAGATAGATCTACACATGTACAAAATAAAACAACCTCATTAACCTCCTTTAATCTATGATAATAATAATAGCAATAATAATAATAATATTAATAATAAGAAGAACAACAACAACAAATTAAAGATACAATAACAAAAAACAAGATACAAGGTCAAAAAATATTCAAAAACAAAAAAGGAGTGTATTATGAGCTATGAGTTTTACACATAATCATGTACTTTATGCTCCCTAAAATGCAGTGAGAAAAGATTGCCTGTTGGTTTATTATAAGTAAAAACATGCACTGTCATCAAGATATCATCAACAAAGACTGGTTCTGCTCATCTTGTATATCATCATCATCCTCCATAACTAATGGCCGATGAGGGGTAATTTTTGGAGACACAAGTGGACCAATTGAACTAAAGAATGAGTTTGTAGAAGTGTCTCAAAGTAAGAGGAAGTATTGCTGCTAGGATTATTAGTGCTCATGGACTCTAAAGAACTTAATAATTTCCTCTCAGCATCATCACTAGAAGCAGCTTGAACACCACATG